TTGACACCCAGTTTCCTCCCCAGAAGTAGGCACCTGAGCTCTGATGATGTGAAACTGTGCTAGGAATTTAATATTCCTAGCCCTACAGAACCCAAACCAAATGAGTACTCTAAGTATCTATAGCATGTCGCATAATCATACGACATGGTCGTTGTCGATTTTTTGCATCATAAAAATCCACCGAACTTGGGTGTACATGGCCAGCGCTTAACCAACTACGCCAATAACCAACTATTTTTACTACGTTAAAGTTGCATATTTTAAGAAATCAAAATTTTAAATAGCCTTCAGCGCAAATAAAATTAATGTTAGGAAAAAATAAAAGTGTTCAATAGTTTGAATTATTTCGGTAAAATCCTGGTCGAATCCCTTGATTTTTTTGGACGTCAGACAAAACCCCTTTTTTTCAAAAAGGTCAAATTGCTTTAATTTCTAAGCACGTAACTTGCGTGCAAGGGTTATCAACTTGGTGCTAAAATCCCCAAAAAAATTGGCGCCAAATCAGGTTGCTAAACTAGGATCCAACCAATTATGAGAATCTGTCTGTTTGATAATTACATACTTTATAAAATAATTATATTTGTTATAAGAAGATTGTGGATCTTCATTATTAGCCAGTACATCATAAGTAATTTTAAAATATGAATTAATTATGTAACAAATATAAACCTTTTGTATTTGCCATATGTTTATTTTTTAAATATTCTATTCGATATCTTCCTCTATTAATATTATATTTATTTTAACTGCTTTTTTAATTTTCAGGTGATGGTATGATAAGAACCGAATGTATTGCAGCTTTATTTTTACAAAAGGCTAAACATGCAAGAAGAATTTACGCAACTCTTCCCGCTATAAAATTTTACTCAGCCGGATTTCTCCCAGAAGGTAATTTTTTGATATTCTAACTTTTTAATTTTTTTTTTACATGTTAATAATCCTAATACTGCTTTTTTCTCTTCTTTTTAATTAAGGTTTTGCTTTTTAGTTATTTTTACAATGCATTATCCCTCGTATATTTTTCCTTTAGTAGTTATTTCTTCTCGTTCTGATATTTTTATTTTATAATTTTTACCACAACCTTTATATTTTAATTTTGTTTTCCTTTTGGTTTTTATCAATTCTACTTATTCTGTTTTTTTTCTTGATAGTCATGCTTTCTGTGATGAATGTGAATACATTGCTTGTTGTTTTCATTGATTTTTTTATCGTAACTCCGATGTATTTACCTATTTATCACGTCTCAGACATTTTTATTACTTCATACTTAGTTTTTTTCACTTATAAGCGGCTATCTTATATATATGATGTTAGTCTGATATCAAATTACCCTCATATGTGCATGTGGCGGTGTGATATCTTCAATATAAACTAGTACAAAACATCACGCGAATACGATCGTTTTGGCATGGTCGATGAAGTACTTCCGTTCGGAACGGAAGGTGAACAGATCAAATCTTCCTTCCTTCATTGGTAACCCTTGCCGTGCAAAGTAAACCGCACCCTTCACGCGCCGCAGTCATGGCGCCATCTATCCTACGCAAAAGCAACTAAGCCGTCAGCCACAAATGACGCAATTAAGCCGTCTCGCACAAATGACACAATTACGCCGTCACTCAAAGCCGTCTCGCACAAATGACACTACGCCGTCACTCAAAGCAGTCTCACACAAGTGACGCAATTCTCAAGCTGTCACGCACGAATGACGCAACTCAGTAAGTGACGCAACTGCTCACATGTTTGCCCTGAATATAGTATCGTTCGTTCGCCTATTCACCGAATCACTTTCATGGGGGTATGTGGTGGTATGATATCTATATAAACTACTACCAAACATCACGTGAAGGCAATCGTTTTGGCGTGGTCGATAAAGTACTTGCGTTCAGAACGGAAGGAAAACAACATCTTCCTTTCTTCATGCATATATGAGTTAATTTTTAACACCAAAATAGAAGCAAATAACAACAGTGTACCTATTGTACATTGTAGGAAAAAACATAATTAAGTTTTTTGGCAATTTGGGGATATATAGATTCTGATATAAATACGTACAACTGCCACCTCCAGGAACTATGCCAACTACTAGTTAGGCGTTGAATCGAAGTGAGCTGGGATGACAAATATGAGTAAGTCATTCTCCAAACTGATTCACGTCTATGCCACACTGCATCACTCATAGTGACTAGAGAGTGGTGGCTGCTCAGTCTTTCAGCAATCCGTGACAAAATGTTTTCAATGTGTCAAAGGCGAGAGATCTGGAGAATGTACTTTCCAAGGCAACAGTTGAACACCCACTGAGTCGAGGTAAGTCAGGATTTGACGGGCAACATGTGGTCTTATATTATCTTGTTGAAAATGACGTCTACGCTGCTTAAAAGATAGGGAATCACCACCAGCTTTAAGATCTGTGAAACGCAATGCTATCTGTTCAGATTACCGAGACTGCAAACTATTATATACCTAACGGCTGTCCATACCACCTAGGTGTTCATAGGTGAATGGCCTAAATGACGGTATGGAATGCAAGTAGGTCTCATGCGTTCTTCTCAGTGCTTCCAGACACGGATACCCCCCTCCTGATGGTGCACGCAGGATTTGAACTAGTCTGAAAAAAAAAGTCTGAAAACTAGTCCCCGTCTCTGCACGTCTCTATGCATCAACATAAGGGAAAGCTACAGTAATAATCACAGACAATCCTTGCTGATCAATATATAATAGCACTGTCCAGCGGATACTTGTACTCTTGTCAAATTCACTTCCTGACTAAAGGCCCATGATGTAGCTGAACGTACTATCCTGAATGGTCGACTTGATGACGTGTCTGTCCTTTCAGGCGTGACAGAAGGCCGATGAGATTCTGCATCACGTTTGAATCATCAATTTGACGTTTTTATTATCCATCTTTCATGGTGTTACAATTTTAATGGTCACCGGTTATATGTATTGATACAAAAAAAAAATAAACGTCAGATAATTGCGTTATTTAAAACATAAATAATTTCATTTATATATGTTTCCATGTCAGCCTTTTTAAAATTTGAATCCCAAAGTAATGTTATATCATTAAGTTTTAAAAACAAAGATATCAGTACGATCCTATGATTATATTTTTTTCCACATCTTTAAGGCCTTTTTGATATTTCGAAGCATTTGCCTTTTACTTTTAAAAGAAAGCATCTATCTTTCAACATGATTAGTTAGCTATATATCCAGAGCAAATTCTTACACAAGGCAAGTCAAAATTAAATAACTTATTTTGTTTGATCAGACTATATTACAAACGTTCTGCTTAAGGTATCCAACTACGTTCGGAACCGAGATTTTTCAAAAGCATATAAATGGATAATACTTATGATATTTAGTGTCAATTAGATTAGAAAATGTATAAAAAATAGTTTTAAGAATATTATTACAATAAAAAATTATATAATACAATATTTTGAAAAAGACTGAACATAGAATTACAAATTTTCAAAATATTCTCCTTTTGTCAAAAATGCTTCTATTATAATAATATTTGCCTGTATGTAGCTCAGACCTCTGTACAGAAGCTCAACTAGAATTTTTTAAATATATAACTTAGAAGTGGGTTTATCCATGCTTTACGACAACAGAGGGGAGAATTTTAAGAAAAAACACCGATAAAATTATTTCATTTGGTTGTAACTCTGAAAATAATGTGATTTTTTCAAAAAATAAATAGTTCAGACTCTCTGGAGAAGTCTTTACTTTATATAAGCAAAATATTATTATTTTAGAAACATCTTTTATAAAAGGAAAACATTTTGAACAAAGTTAAAACTTTTTTGCCAAATATTGTATTTAAATAATTTGTTTTTATCAAAATGTCCTTAAAACAATTTTATACATGTATTCTAATCTAAGTGACACAAAATATCATGAAAATTATCCATTTATGCGCTTTTTAAGATCACGGTTCCGAACGTAGTCGTGTAGTTTAAAAAGTATAACACAAGTAAGCCTAATGCTAAGAAAAATAACAGTCAATTTTACAGAAGTGGGAAATAAATTAGGTTAAAATTATGTCGAATGTCTGATTGCTGATTTAAGTGCGACGTATTCCAGTTTAAATCAACATTGAATATTAAAAGAGGTGTGTGCATTTACCTCGGTACAAGGGCGAAACGTATCTCTCTTCTTGAGATGACTTCTGGTAATTTCCGAATTCAGAAAGTTTAGAAAATTAAATGAGATTTTCGAAAATTAGAAAATGCAATTCGCTTCAGTGTAGCAATCAACACGAAAATCTAACTTAACAAAATGAAACCAGAAGTAAAATCTGTAGATTATAATAAAATTATTGGAAATGAGATAAAAATAAAATCGAACCTCACTTTAATAAAGTATGTATTCTATTTTTCAGTTTATACTAATAGTTCACACTCTCCCTATTATGTATATATCTTGTCCAAATTTTCAATCGTTAATAAAATACTCTTTATTCAATCATTTAAAGTCAAATACATTTTTTAAAATTTGTAGTGGATGACACTTGATGTTAATACAGTTTTTTCAAATATTAATTCATTAATTACAAAAATAATAGTCCAATACCATATATAATTCAATTAGTAGGGGCATTTGTTCTTGTGGTTTGGATGCTGAAACAGCGGAACATGTCTTGTTGTATTGTAGCCACTATTTTTGCAAAAGAGAAAATTTTAAAACGGAGTTGAAACACGTTTAGGTATTTCCTGGCCACCTGTTTTGTCTTTGTTGGTCAATTGCACTGAAAGCCTTTATACCTTAAGACAATGTTTTTACTGTATAGAGAGAGAGACTTTTAAAGTTTTATGGGTACCTTCCTTTCTTTTTATTGTGTATTTAATCCCTTCCTTTTATTTTATATTTGTCTCTTAAATGAAGTTTTAATTTTGTTTTAAATTTTATAAGGATGCTACCACTTGCGTCTGATTTGCAAATAAATTCATTAAAAAGAAAAAAAAATACCATATATAAAAAGGAAAATCACTCGTTGCGTCCCTGTAACGCAATGGATAGCGCGTTGAACTTCTAATCCAAAGGTCGTGGGTTCGAACCTACTGGGGATGGCATTATTTCTGAGAATGTGATTTATGAATGAATAAATAGTAACAAACAAAAATAATAGGCCAACACCATGTACAGAAAGGAAAATCTTTTTCTATTTTGCCACTTAATATTGTGGTCCTGTTATATGTATATACATATTTATATTAATTATAATTATTTAATAAAAAGTAACTAAAATAAACTGTTTCGTTGTTGACATAAGAAGGAATTGATTTTATAAAAAAAGATTTTATATTACTTGTTGACAATTATCTAGCTTTTCTTGAATAAAACCTTTATACATTTCATACTTCCAGGAATAAATGTACCATCTGCGCCCATGTTAAAACAAATTATATTAGACTGTTTAGAGGAAGCTAACGTGGATCGTGATGAAGTTGAATATGTTGAAACTCACGGAACTGGAACTCAGGTTGGAGATAAAATTGAAGCAAGTGTTTTGGGACAAGCATTTTGCAAAAACAGAAAAAGACCACTTCTTATTGGAACGATAAAATCTAATCTAGGTCATACAGAAGCAAGCTCAGGTAAAAAAAATAATAATTCTTGTTATTTTAAACCAATTACGTCATGTAATTTAAATAACTGATGGTCTAATTGCGTCATTATCTCTTTTCGGATATCCTTTGCGTCATTATCTTTATTTTTGAAATCAATTACAGATGAAAAAAGTTTTTAAATATGTGCAAATGGTGAAAAAAAGAAATTTTAAGTTTTCTTTATTTAAAATTAGCTTCAGTTATAATTTAGAGTAACCTAAGCTGTACTGCATATTGGATAATTGTAATAGATTTGAAATTTAAGTTTATTTTAAAATTACTGGTTCCAACTAGGGTGCAAATATACCTTTTCCTAATATTGTTGCTTAATGTTATAGTAAAAAATTTGATAATTTTTAAAAAATTTCAGCAACTTAAAAATAGTATTATTTTTGTGAGATATATTGAGAAAAATTAAATTAATCTGCAATTACTCCTAAAAAAATTAAAGTTAAGTTTAAAATGTTGTAATGATTTTTTGTAAACCCATCTTTACCCAGACATTCATAATATAATGCCCAGCATACTTTTCTAATTGAGATATACAATTAATTGAATACCAATATCAATTTAAAAAAAGATGTTTAAGACATAAAAATTTTCGAAGCCATTGAATTCTCGTAGATATTGTGTGTGAACCCAACAAAAGTACTTAAAAGAAATATTTGTAAGTCACAACAACTATTTAAAATCTAACATAACAAAAGAAATTTTATAAAAAGAAAGAAAACACATATAAAATTAAATATACTTATAAACTAACTTAATATTCTTATGCACGTAAGAAGTTAAACGTACATGAAAAAAGACCAATGTCATGTAAAACCCCCAAAATTTTTAAGTCTTTTAAATTTAAAATGTTTAAAATGAGAAAGGGAAAAAAATAGAATACTTAAGGAATGTCTCATAATTGTTAAACAATAGCACATAGGTAGGTCTACCTCAAGGAAGAGAGATATTAGTTTTTAAATTAGTTTAATAATTTGATAAGTTAAGGCTGTGCAGAAGCATTTAATTGTCACAGTGTATCTGCCAGAAAGTACTGAGTGGTTCACGATAAACCAAGAGAGGAAATAAGAATAAGAAGAGGAAATAAGAGAGAGGAAAGATAGAAAAGCGTCAATGTATTCGACATAGTAAAAAAAAATACATTTCAAATGTCACGCAGTGAACCGATGAACTTGAATAGCTAGGGAAAAAACACTGATTTCCTCTTGTGATATGCGCTCATTTTTCACGACTAATAACATTTCCTAGAAAAGATCAAATGCAAATATAGTCGTTATTTATTAGTGAAGCAACTTTTAGAGTAATGTTTACCGTAACAATCCTCAAACTCGATGCACTGCAACAGAATACACGCAACGGCATCACTAACATTGAAAGGGATAATTTCCAGGAAGTCGCACTGAACAAGATTTATATATAGGAACATGTGCCTTGAACATGGAGATCCGTATTCTTAATTCGTCCAGAACTACTATCAACAGCTGTTTTTGACTAGACGAAAAAACCTGAGTATTTACGGTTTTATCATTACGGCTTGTTCTTTACAGTCATTTACAGCAGTGTTTCTCAAACTGTGAAGCGCGCTCCCCTAAAGGGGTGTGACAACTGTACAAAAGGGGCGCGAGCATATTGAAAAGTCGAAAACAAAAGAAAATTTTTAAAAAAATTATTAACTTACTGAGAGTAAACAAAAAAAAAAAAAACCCCATTCTGGCATAATAAAAAATAAAATGCACATTTACACTGATATAGCACACTTATACATGTATCAGTACTGTACAATGTTTACTTTATTATTAATTTAACAATACTAAGTTAAGAACAAGTTTAATAGTTACCAGTGACCTTGTCATATATATAAAATTATATACAAATATTAACAATTATCTTAATAATTTGTACTGTTTGTAATTAACCCCTTAACTGCCGATTAAAAGTAACGCAATTCGCTCCCCGACGACACCGTTTTCCACGTAGACCTACTATGTGGCGAGTGTGATGTATTGGAAGGGAAGGGAGAAAGAAAAGGAATAAATAAGCAAATCCTCTGAAATAAGTAAACCCTTCTCAAACTCTGTCAAAGGCCTTTTAATACATTCCAAAGCTTTTTTTAAGGTTTAAAAATAATTCTCATGGATTGCAGTGTACAGAAAAGATCGTACTTCGGAACGACGTATACATATTCCCAGAACAATTAACGCGTTGGCTGAGCGGGACGTATATATACGCCAGTGACACTTTAGAGGTTAAAACCGTATTGTAGCTTTAGCGTCAAGGTATAGTATTATTGAATTCAAAACATTGTTATTGTATGGAAGGGGGGGGGGTTGATGGAACTTCTGATTGAATATTGGGTCGCAAATATTGAAAGTTTGAGAAGCACTGATTTACAGTGTTTTTCATTTGCTTTTAAGTTCAGTTTATCTTGGACCATTCTGTCTATGTTTGGATCTAAAAACAATTTGTTTATTTCTATTTGTTATTTATCAGAAAAAATTTTAAATAATTGAAAGAAAACTTTCTATTTCTTATTCTAGCAATATGTGGGATAATAAAATCCCTACTAGCTTTTGAAACCAATACTATTCCGCCAAACATTAAATATGATACTCCAAATCCAAATGCTCCAGATTTGGTGGAAGGAAGACTTAAAGTTGTGACAGAGCCGACACCTTTAAATTCAGACTACATTCCCATCAACTGCCTAGGATTTGGCGGAACTCTTGTAGAGACGATTCTAAAAAGAAATCCAATAACTACAGAAAAAAGAGAGCGAAAAACGATTAAAATTCCTAGATTAATTCTGTATCCGGCTACTACAGAAGAAGGCGTAAATTTTGTATTTGAATATATACAAAATAATCCGGATCTGCCAGATGAGTTTTTCGCTCTTCTTCATAAGCTATCTTTCAGTGAACCAATGTACAAACCTTACAGAGGATATGCAATTTGTCAGGAAGGAAAAAATGCAGTCACTGAAATTAAAGTAAGTACTTTTATTTTTACAAAACGAAGCGCTCTATTTCAGGAATTCCTGTATCTTAAAAATGCCTTTACATACTCGTGATAAATAATAAAAGAAATAAACATCGTTATTTTTTTAAAAAAAAAGAAAAAGAAAGGTAAATAAAATAGTATAACTCGTGAAAGAAAATTAGAGTGAGTGAGTGATTACTGATGTCGCACTGCTCAGCTACACGAGGGCTTTTGGCGACGGACCACGTAATGTTGTTGTTCAAATGACGTGTACGATACCTGAACTGGCACCCCCTCTCCTAAGTACCACACCAACAGGAGGACGTTTCAGTTCTCGACATATTTAACGTGCATCGCTGCCCTAAACGGCGGGTGTTTAGTGGTACTGGGCTCGAACTCATGACATGCCTGCCATGATCCGATACCTTGACCAATGGGCTCCCGCAGCCCAAAGAAAATTAAGATAATTGGTGCTAGGAAGCAGCGAGCGGCAAGTTAGGACTAACTCATCCAATCACTTTTAAGACCTTCGATTGTATTTAGTTATTCACCAAAAGTTATGGGATTGAATGGGATGCGAATATCAGTGATTCGAATAAAAAAGTTCCTTTTAGACCGAGGGTCGACAACCTTTTAGCAATAGCATGTCAAAACAATCTACCAATATCATTCGGAGTGCCACACAGTAGGATATTTTTTAAACAATTCGATTCCCACGATAATTTATGCAGAACTAGAAAACAGAGGTCAATAATAAACAATAAAGAAACAATATAAAATACAATGTAAGTATATTTCCCTTCATTATAGTTAAATAAAATTTTTAATACGAACCTAGTGCTACTGTCATATCGCAAGTATAGGGATGTAATTTGTGACTCTCAATTTGAAATGATTCTCAGCATTTAGTTGCTAAACAATTTCTTTGCGGACTCGAAATGTTATTTTTATATAAAGAAAGACTTTTACTTTGATATGTAGAACCAAAAGCGGAAAATAGAGTACATGCAATGTTCTCTCTTCAAACAATTCCCTAGCAATGGCATTCAGTAATTTACAAAATAGCTGTAAATTTATCTTTAGAGTTATCTTTCAGATATTTTCGTAATTCCATAATTTTCCATAATTCTGGAGATGTTTGTCAAATAAGGTCCATTACAAATTTATCAACTTCCATCCACTCAAAAATTGACAATTTGTTGAGTAGTGTGGAGCGTCACTAAGAATTGTACCGCGTATCGCAGGTTGCCGACCCCTGGTATAGACCATTTTATTTTGCTATAGACTCAGAAATTTTCGGGAAACAAACTGTTCACCTAGAAGATGATTCACCCTGACACGACCATCGACGTGATAAATAAGAAATCGCGATTCATCCGACCAGGTAACTCTCTTCCACTCTTATCCATGGTTCAATCTCAATATTCCTGAGCCCGCTGTTGGCGAAGTTGACAATGACGCTTTGCCAACATAGG